TCTCTCTCTCTCTCTCTCTCTCTCTCTCTCTCTCTCTCTCAATTCGAACCCTAATTCCCCAATCCTCCATCAATTCGAAATTTGGAGCTCAACCCTAGCTTGAAGCCTAACCTTTCTTTGTGAATGTATTCAATGTATCATATAATTTGGCAGGTCTTGAATCTTGATTGTTTGTAAACTTCGTATTATGCTTGATTTATAAAAATTGCAAGATTTCTGAAATTTTGCAGGATTTTTTACGATATCAACATTAATACCGAATCATACCGGTCCCGTTTGGATCCGGTATGGTTTGAATGTGTTTTCTAAAACTCTCATCCCGTGTCATCCCATCCTGATTCCCCTATCCGGGATTGACACCGAGATGACCTCCATCCCGTGTCATCCCATACCATGCCCAGCCCTACCAATCTGTGCCCACACCTAAGCAACAACTACTTCCTACGAGAAAATAAAAGAAAGGAATTCCAACGATTTGGTTGTTCAATTGAAAGCGTACCACATGGTGTCAAGGGGGATACCCTTAAAATATATAAGAGGAATGCAAAACTAACGTGCCAAAAGTTAACAAAAAGCTGGGCAATATTTTAGCTTAGCATCTGACATTGTGGTCCTTAAACACCCTTCACCTTTTTTTCATAACAAAGAAAACAAAGGAAAGCAAAACGCAAAAGACCACTCTAATAGCCTAAATCTTTAGTTGTAGTCTAACAAGAGTCTTGGTAATCCCAATCAATGTCGTCGTCGTACTTGTCGTGGCTGTTCGCGTATAATGGGCTGTGCCTGTCGTGGCTGTTCGCGTATAATGGGCTGTGCCTGTCGTGGCTGTTCGCGTATAAGGGGCTGTGCCTGTAGTTGCTGTTCGCGTATAAGGGGCTGTGCCTGTCGTGGCTGTTCGCGTATAATGGGCTGTGCTTGTCGTGGCTGTTCACGTATAATGTTATGTGCCTGTCGTGGCTGTTCGCGTATAATGGGCTGTGCCTGTCGTGGCTGTTCGCGTATAATGGGCTGTGCCTGTCGTGGCTGTTCGCGTATAATGGGCTGTGCCTGTCGTGGCTGTTCGCGTATAATGGGCTGTGCCTGTCGTGGCTGTTCGCGTATAATGGGCTGTGCCTGTCGTGGCTGTTCGCGTATAATGGGCTGTGCCTGTCGTGGCTGTTCGCGTATAATGGGCTGTGCCTGTCGTGGCTGTTCGCGTATAATGGGCTGTGCCTGTCGTGGCTGTTCGCGTATAATGGGCTGTGCCTGTCGTGGCTGTTCGCGTATAAGGGGCTGTGCCTGTAGTTGCTGTTCGCGTATAAGGGGCTGTGCCTGTCGTGGCTGTTCGCGTATAATGGGCTGTGCTTGTCGTGGCTGTTCACGTATAATGTTACGCTCATCCCAGATTCGGCAGGAACATGTTGCTTTCTTGTTCTTCCACTCAGCTCCACAAGTATAACAAAACTCATAACCGCATCTACAAAGACAATGCAAGCATATAGACAAACCACAAGGATTGGTATACCCAAAAAATAAACAGCAGCACCCAGAAAAGAACAATCAAAACTAGTTCTTTTTGTGGGTAAAAGAATAGAAAAGATGGTTTGCAACTAGTAAAGGCAATACACCAATACCATAACTATCTGAGGGGACAGTGTAAGGCCCTACCATGATATCTATTTATAGATGACTAGGATCTTATCCAATGTTTGCTAACAAAAGCATAAAAGAGAACGCCAATTAGATCAGCATGCAGAGATTGACTCTTTTGGTGGTTTGATGGCCCATTGGCAATGTGATTTTCAATCAAAAGAACTCAGAGGAACTTGAGACCCAACACTATACTTAGCCATATCCACTCTTGTACTCAACTTGCTACCAATTAGATCATATTGAGTTCACTAGCTGTATATTTTGTTTTATCTTTTGCTTGTTTCATCCCTCTCAAAAAATTGCTAATTTGATCTAAAGATGACAAAATCAACAGAACAATGACCAAAAGACAAGGCAAATAGGATGGAGGAGTAGGGAGTAATACCTGCAAGTTATGTGGTAACAACCTTCAGCGAGCTCAACCATATGGTTGCACTTTACGCATTGACGCCAGAGTTTCTTTGTAGCCAGCGAGTTGAGCAATTGGTCTTCTTGGTGGGGATAGGGATGTGATCTTTTATGATCATAGCAGGTCATATTGAAGTGCCAAGGGACCTTGCAATTGATACAAAAATAGTAATGACATTTCATGCATCTCCTGGCTCCAGTTTGCTCAGCACGGACAAAAGTAGTTTTGGTATATTCTAAGACCTCCTTTTTAGACATTAATGCAGAACACCTGGGATTTGGGCAATAAACTTTGTCTGTAACCGGAATAGAAGATTCCTTGATTCTTTGGCTTATGGCCTCAACTAGTTTAGGTGCCAAGAATTTTGCACAGCTATCAATATTCACCTCATTTTTACAGCCTTCATGAGGGCACTCTGCCCCCATCCCATTCAGAAACTTTACTTCCACATGCTGTTTCATACAAGAACAGCAATACCTGTGTAGACAGCCATCGATTGAAAACATTTCCGCAACATCAGTTTCTTCAAAGCAAATTACACAAGTCTCCTTCAAACTCTTTCCATTGCTAGAGTCTGCACGCCAGGTGATCTGAGAAACTATAGCCTCTCTTGCAACTTTAAGTGCAAACTTAATGTCAGTACGTGCTACAAGAGAAGGGCTGCAATATTCAAATTTTCTTTGTAGAAGAGCCACTTGATTGACTAATGTTGCAACCTTGCTGTTTCCAGGACGCACTCTGTTTGTGACCTGCATTTATAAGATGTCAATCATCTACATGGAATTTTCTGTTATGCCCCCATATTTTATTTTATAAACATGAATAGTGATGAGAGCAGCAAACTTGTAAAGACATCAATTATACTATCAATAAGGAGGAAAATAAATGAAAAATAACAGAACTTAGGTTTTCTGGATACAGTTTGAATCCTTCGGAATAGAAAAAAATATATATATTTATCCTGTAATACAACCAACAAAGTTTGGCAGAACACATCACCAAGAAATAATTAACAAATTTCTAACAGCAACAAAATAGTATAACTGCATGACCGAATCATTGCTGAACCCGAAATTTGAAACTCTAACACATTAATACCAGTAATTGGCTTTGTCACACAAATGCAGCAAGCTCAGCAAATGTTTAACACAACAGACTGAAAGAAGGATAGGTCTAACAAGATAACTGTTAATTCTCCCAAATACCAAGTTGTTTGGGATTATTCCTTGCAGCTTCTGCACAGAGCTAAATTAACACACTCCAAAACACTGTCACAGATGACATGACATACACTTGTTAGATTGCACTTCAACCAATTAACCGAACCCAAGCACTGAACCAAAAACCAATACAGCAACTCACTCATATTGATGTTTAGTAATTGGCTTTCACACTTCTCATTGTTGCCCACAATCTTCCTGCTCAATCTCTGATAATGTTCTCCCAAACAAACCCACATATAGTAAGCCCCAAAATTTCTATCCCACTTCCAAAATGGTCAAATGCAGAATCTTTTTATTTTCCTCTGTTTCAGTTTCAGAAGATACCCAATAGTTCATACAGCCAAAGATTTCAAATTTGCAATGCAACAAACAATGCACACCAGTCAACAGTCAACTCTACTACCATTAACATAAACACAAACTCCCACCCAATTAAAAAGTGAATTTGAGAATAAATAATAGAAGACCAATAAGAGCGAGTGTTTAATGCTAAAACTCACATATTGGTAAAGCATGTAGTCATCACAGTAAAAGGTCACAGATTTCAAGTCCAAGGTGAGAGCTTTGTTAAGCCCTTCAATGATGGCCTCAAGCTCCGCAGCCTCGTTGCTCAGCACCACACCATCAACCACCGCCTCCAGATTCTTCCTCGCCTCGAATATCAGATTGTCTCTAGGGTCACAAATCGCGACACCTGCCCCAGCCACCACTACCTTCATATCCCTAACCCTCTCCTCGCTCACCAAACCCTTGCAATACAACCTCAAATTCTCAGTCTCCACCGCCACAGCTTTTGTCGACGATGACGACGACGATTCGTCCGCACAGTACGGACGCTGGTAATAGTCGCCGTGCTTGGCCCAGTTGTCCTCGGGCACGTCGCGGAGGTAGGCGGCGAACTTCTGATCGTGAATTCGACGGTTGAGATCTTCCTTCGTCTTCCTCATCTCCGAAACGGTGCGCTCGTGGTCCTCCCACTCCTGCGCGAATCGCTCGACGTCCTCGAGCATGAGTGTGGCGGCGAGGTCTAAAATGGCGTCGTGGGGAGGCGAAGGAGGCGGAGAGTTGCGCGAACTCGAACTCGAGGCCAACGAGGGATTGAGAGCGAGAGAGGCGGCCATGGCTTCCTGCATTTGGAGCTTGAAGGCCATGTCGAGGTCGGAGTCTAGAGTTTTGGCGGCCATGAGGTCTCTGCGTTGCTCGGAGAGAATAGTGTGGAGGTCGTCTGGGTCAGTACGATCATCCATGATTGGTCTGTGTGGAGGACGCAGAGTGGGTCTTCTGGGTCAGTACGACTATAGTTAACGTTTTGCTTCCCTTTTTTAAGAGCCAAAGCGTCGAGAATGGGCAAAAGGAGGTGACACTTGTTAGACAAGGAAAAGACCAGGGAAACACAAGATTTTCGAAATTGATGAGAGTCTGCAGAACATTACATTACATTACATATATATATATATATATATATATATATATGTTGTATCAAAACTTTACTAAAGCAAGATATCGTGAATAATAATGCACATTCGAGTTGAGATTTTATATCAAATATTAGTATTTAAAATTAAAACTTTACGGTGTGTTTATTTTTGTTGAAAAAACTTTACTGTGTGTTTAGAATAGATGAGGAAATTTCTAGCTAAGGTAATCATAATTATAGTCGAGATGCCAAACAAATGACCAATAGAGGAATTTTTTTTTTTAAGGCCACTTAAACTTTTTATGTTAGGAATTTATTAATTAAATTTTTTTAATTTCAATTTAAGTTACAAACTGGAAAGTCAATTTTTTTATTAAAATAATTTATTAAAAAGACCATAAAAATTTAATAGAATGTTATCAACTAGCTTTAAAAAAAGGTTGATATACATCCAAATTTCTATTGAGGAGTTGAGTTTAATCCTCGGATTTGGTGACTTTGATACAAGTCCTTTGACTTTTGTGCCACATAGAATTACATTCTTCTTTTTATTATTTTATTTTTAAAATTAATTTTTTGTTCCAATATTGCCCCTTATGACTTGAATCGGGTAATAGTCATTTATGCCATATTGCCTATTGACTATTGCCTATTACATAGGTATATATAGGTTTTTTCATATTTTCGACAATATGTAATAGTATTTTATGTACCTTGTTTTTTTATAGGTAACATACAATTTTATTTTGTCTATTTTTGTATCTGACTTATAGGTAGTCTTCTAATTTATGTTCCTAACTTATAGGTAACACGATTTATCACTGAGTATTTTTCATTGCTAATAATTACGCTATTTACCTGTGTGTCATATACATAATTTAATGTGGGTGCTTGTCTGATCGATTGTTATAATATGTGGGTATTTACTTTTTATTGACTAAATTGTTTTTACCCATACATTAGGAATATTATACATACATTAGGAATATTATCAAGGAAAGAATTCAAAATTTAAATTTTGGAATTCAATTACAAGGAAATAATGCATTAAATTTAGATTTTCAATGTTTTTTCCTTATTTACCTCAAAGGGTAAAATTAAGGGAGTTTCACTAAAATACCCAAAATGGGGGCTGAAATTATAAAAATACCCAACACCCAAAACACTTTATAAACATACCCAAAACTCATCATTACACACACTCAAAACCCATTTATAAACATACCCAAAACCCATCATTACACACATACCCAAAACCCATTTTGGGTATGTTTTCATGTTTAAATAGTGCTTGGGTATTTTTATAAATACATGTCTAGGATTGGGTATTTTTATAAATATCTATAAAATTAATACAACAAAAAAAGTAATAAATGTCAAATGACCTACATCTAAAAAAAAAACGCAATGACTAAACCCAATAATAACTAATTATTTTGGACCAAGATCTAAAAAGTCCAAAAAAAATTTAGTCAATTCAAAAGCACTGGTCAAAATTTAGTCAATACTTGTCGTGGCTGCTCAGGTACAATGGCCGGCGGTGCATGTCGTGGCCGTTCGCGTATAATGTTACTCACATTTAAGAAGTCTGAGGAACTGAATCTACTTGTTTCATTCCTCTCTAAATAAAATTGCTTATTTTATCTAACCATAACAAAATCAATATGGCAATGACCAAAACACCACCCAGTAACTCCAAACCAAAAACACAAAAGACCCATAAAAATGGATCCTTTAGTGATAAAACTCACATATTGGTAAAGCGTGCAGGGGAAGGCAAAAAGGAGTGGAAACTTGCTACATAAGGAAGAGACCAAGAGCGTCTTGGAAATCGAGTCTTAAGATTTAAGGTAACAAGTTATACTACGTGACCATAATACTACTATTCTATAATCTCTCGTGAGATTACTTTGACTAATTTTGACCATTAAGCAGCACTTTTGCAAATGACTTGGAATGGAATATTGACTTTCCTAAACTCAAAATTCAGTATCTTCTAAGTTGGACACGAAAATATCACTAGATGACGGATGACCTATTTGTAATCATATTTTTATTTATAATCAGATTCGTTAATTAATTAATTAATATGCAATAATTGTTAATTAGATTTTAAACACATAACACACAAAAAACCCTATTTTCTGTTTTGAATTCTCCTCCCCTTCTCTTTACCTCTCAACTCTCGTCTTTCTCATCTTCATTTTTTTCCTCTCCTTTAATGGTATCAAAACAAATTAGAGCAGAACAGATGGATCATCAAACGGAAAACCTCATGGACAACAAGTCAGTGAACACAAAATTCTTTCGAGTGGGTATTATAGTGTTACAATGAATAATCTGAATAAGAGTCATAGCACTCGCTGTCAGAGTCACAATACTCCTCCACATATTCCCCATATTCATATTCTTCATCCAAATCTCTATCGTCTTCGGCAGACAAGTTATGCTCACCTTCTTCAACCACCGCCTCCTCCTCTTCGTCCTGAATGTCATCCCCAACCTCTTTCTCTTGAATTTCCTCATATTCTTCATCAAAATCTCCATCATCTTCAGCAGACAATATTTGCTTCTCTTCCTCAAACTCATCCTCAACTTCATCTTCATCTTCATCTTCATATTCGTCTTCGTCTTCTTCCTCGTCTTCGTCTTCTTCCTCATCTTCATCCTTTTCTTCCTCCTCCTCAAAGTCTCCATCTTCATTAGACAAGATATCATCTTCATCTGATGTTGGGCATGAATATGTTGCCTTTTCGACATTCCACTCAGCTCCACTGTCACGGAAAAACTCAGGCACCACATTTCTGCAAAAGCAATAAAAGCATGAGAATGGGTACCAAGATCACATAAACAGTTGTTTGCAAACTTGATCTGCATCTTTTTCTTTCAGGTGGAATGACCTTCAACAGCTTTCAATCACAATTAGAACAATATAAAAATAATAATGCAGATTCCCAAGGATGGTACACAATCTGAAACACGAACACACACACTGATACGAACATATAAAATTATAAAACACAATTGTTCATCCTTGTGTCTTCATCATAGTCATCATGTGCACATTCTCTTTGTCAACTATAATGTAGGTTCTTTTTTCAAACTGTAATGTTCTCCTTCCTTTCTTTACAGTAATCAAGAGATGGGAAAACCTTTTGAGCAAGCAGTAACCATTTGATACTCCTTTTTTTTTTTTTTTTGCCACAAACCGTTTGATACTTTACACAACATATTAATATAAATACTATTGAATATTTTCCATTCGGAGAAAATTTGAGGGAATGACTTTAGAGAGGGGATGTTACGGTAAAAGATATTCGTAGTCAGAATACTCCTCTGAATCTGACTCTGTCACATCCTCTGAATCAAAATCTTCATCTTCATCGTACAAAATATTACCCTCATCCCATAGGGGGCAAGAACATGTTGCCTTCTTATCTTTCCACTCAGCTCCACAATTATAACAAAACTCATACCCACATCTGCAAAAGAAATAAACGCATTAGGATGAATACTAAGATGACATAAATACAGTAACTCGCAAACTTGAAGTACAACAGCTTTCAAAATTTCAATTACAATACAATAATACTGATAAAATCCAGATTCCCAACAACTTTGGGCAACAAAACACCAGTCAACGATCCTCTTAGTTGGGTTTATATTATCATAACATTTACCAAATCAAGGGTTGTCAACCCGTTCCCATTCTCTGTCTTCAACTTGATCTACATTTGATTTTTACCATTTTCCTCAAGCGCTCTTTCCACACATGTTTTCTCTTGATGGTTAAGACTAAATGTCAAAAAATAAGAATTTTCTCAACTCCCAAAACACATAGATTGTCTTAACTCTTTCCTCATTTAAATTACTGCTGAAAAAAATCGTATGATGATCACTCAATGCACAAGATTCGAATTTCGAATCTGTGTTCCACATGCCCTCTACTTTTACTAGCAAGTCAACTCAAAACTCTCATTACAGAATTTAAGCTATTCTTTTATTTTTTTAAATCCACTCCTTAGGAAACTGGAGCAAGCAGATTATTTTCTAGAGCCAAAAGAATGGCCTTTTTGTTTTCTAGTTAGGACATCATTAGCGTATACAACACCTTCAATGACTGAGGTAGATTGAAATGTCTAAAACAAATCTTGTTCCCTCACATATTTTTTTACTCAAAATAATTTTGAAAAGTTATTATGAGGGGTAAACTCCAAAAAATGGGGACTAAATACCTGCAAGTCATGTGGTAGCAACCTTCAGCAAGTTCAATCATATGGTTGCATTTCACACACTGACGCCACAGATTCCTTGAGGCAAGAGACTTTAGCTTTGTATCTTCTTCTGGGGGATAAGGATTCAGCTTTTTATAGTCAGAGCATGTTCTGTTTTTGTGCCAAGGGACTTTACAGTTGATGCAGAAAAGGCAGTTGCATTTCATGCATTTCCTAATTCCTGATAGTTCCACATCCCTCAAGGTTTTTTTGGAGTGTTCTAAAAGCTCACGTTTTGATATTAAAGCGGAGCACCTTGGATATGGGCAATAAACTTTTTCCGCAGCAGGAATTGAAGCTTCCTTTATGCGTTGGCGCATTGTTTCCACAAGTTTAGGTGTCAAGAATTTTGCACAACTGTCAACACTAAGGTCAGACTTACAACCTTCATGAGGGCATCTAGGAATCATCCCATGAAGCAACTTCACCTCCACATGTTGTTTCATACAAGAAAAGCAATACCGATGCAGGCAGCCACCAACCGAAAACATTTGAATAACATCAGTATCTTCTAAACATATCACACAAGTCTCATTCACATTCTTACAAGTGGTAGATTGTGCAGGTTGGTTGGTCTGAGATTGAGACACTATTGCATCTCTTGCAAGTTTAAATGCAAATTTAATATGATTTCGGGGCACAAGCCTTGGGTTGCAAAGTGTAAACTTTCCTTGAAGGCTCTTAACCTGATTGACAAGCACTGCTATCTTGTGCTGCTTTGCTTGCCATTTACCATTAACCTTCATACATAAAATATAACGTCAGAAATTCAACAAGCTCTATTCATGGGTGTAAATAGACCGTAGCAGAGTGACAAGTTCATCCAATATTCTTGGTTTCAACACAAATACTACAACATTGCACACATAAATGTCATAATAAACTCCATTATTTTAGACCTTATTCACAAGACTTTCTCTAATGGTCAATTTAAATACAAGATAGCAGACTAATTTAGCAAATGCTGAGAAGACACAAGTAAAATTTCTCAAAGTGAATGCATCTCTTTGTCCACAATAGATGATATACGATTTGCCCTATCAGATTTCATCAAGTATATCTGAAAATTGAATGTTCACTATTGTTCCAGGAAAAACAATATTAATTCACAAAACCTACAACATCGTATACACTAATATAATAGTAAGTTCCATTCCTTTAGACCTCTTTCACAAGAGTCTCTTTCATGGTCAGTGTAAACCATAGCGTCCATAACCATATATATAAGATAGAAGGCTAATTATGATAGATGTCATGGATTCATTCAAATATCACAGAACTACAGTAGAATGAAGGCTAAAATATTGAAGAATATAGGGTTAGAGAGCAAGAGAGAAACAAAGAAGTGAAGAACTCTGTAATTTCATTCAATATGATAATGATATCATCTCTTCCAACAGAAGCTAGAATGCCTTTACATACATTGCCATATGACAACAAAGAAAAATTAACTTAAATAATCTTGACACCTGTCCTAGCTAATTAGTCCACATCGGCATCAATTTAATGCTAGTGTGGTGTAATACTAGCAACTAAATTAAACAAATGCTGAGAAATCCCAACTAAAATTTATCAGAGAAAATGTATAATCTCTGTCCACAACAGATAATATACAACCCGCTCTATCGAATTTCATCAGTATATCTTTAAAAAATGGAATTTTTATATTAAAATGCAAAACCCACAATTAGCCTAACTATTTTTCATCAATAGACCGAAACGAGGCAGAGAAGAGAAGAGATAGCAACTCACAAACTGAAAAATGGGAAAATTCTCACAGAAAAAGGTGATGCGCTTCAAGTCCAAAGCAAGAGCAGCATTAAGTCCTTCAATCAAGGCTTTCAACTGGGCACCATTCTTGCTCATCCCATTCCCGATCAGGGGTTTCCAAACCTCGAACACCAAATTATCCCTGGAGTCGCATAGCGCAACCCCAACCCCAGCCAGCACCACTCTCTCATTTCCAACCATTTCCTCGCTCACCAAACCCTTGAAGTAGAGCCTGAACACGCTCTCACTCTCGACCTTCTTCGTCGACGACGACGAGGAGGAGCCTTCGCCGAAGGGTTTGGCGAAGAGTTCGCCGGACTCTTGCCACTCGTCCTCTGGAATCTTCTTGATCTCCCTCGCGACCTGATCATCGTGAATCCGACGGTTGAGATCCTCTCTGGCTTTCCGCATTTCGATTTCGCCGTCTTTAAATTCCTGCTCCGTTCTTATGAGTTCTTCGGACTTGAGGGAGACGTGGGTTGGGGTGTTGGGGATGGTCCGAACGGCGTCGTTTCGGGGGGGTTGGGTAGAGGAGGAAGATGGTTGGAGAGCGAGAGAGGCGGCGAGGGCTTCTTGGAGTTGGATGTTAAAGGCGAGATCCATGTCGGACTCTAGGGATTGGGCTTCCATGAGCTCGCGACGTTGCTCGGAGACGGCGAATAAAACGTCGTCGCCGTCGTCATCGGAAGACGCGCTGCTGGCCATGTAGGACTGAGAGAGCGAGAAATAAATGAAGTGTGCGTTGTCTCGCGGGACTTCGGGATTTTGGGGAGATTATATATATATATATTTGTTTTTAATTTTTTTTGGTCAAAAGGCATCCTTTCCTTTATATAATGAGAACTCGAGATAATTCCGAAATATTTAATTCACTGGTAACAATTTACCCTCTGAAATAAATTCTTTGTAAAAATGAAGAAAAAAGAAAAGCACAACCCTTTCCCGACATAGCGTAGCATTGTTAAATGCAATTAGAAAGGAAATCTAATTCGAAACTCATCGAAACAAAGTTTTTGTCGACTGGATCATCATCCACGCACTTGAGAGCTCCGCCGCTCCCTTTCGAGATTTGGTCTCGCTTCCCAAATGTTGAAGGTTGGCTGAGACTCACTGACTCACTGAGATGCTGAAGATGATGATGCGGAATATAGCTGCTTCTTCTTCTTCTTATTGCACCAGCAGGAGATGGAGAGGTATGCCTTGTCTTCACTCTAACTCCACTCCTGTTGTTTTCGCCAACGATTACTTTGCTTTCCTTCACTCTCAACCTTCTAAACCAATCAAATCTACAAGAACCCAACTAGAGCAGCCAATGAGAAACTCACCCAAAATCACAAATGTTGAGGATGCTTTCAATGTGTTTGATAGAATGCTTCAAATGCGTCCTCCGCCTTCAGTTGTTCGTTTCAATCAAATATTGGGTCAAGTTGCAAAATTGAAACATTACTCGGCTGTCATCTCATTGAATAACCAAATGGATGTGTCGGGAATTGGACCTGATGTTTGTACTCTAAATATTCTCATAAATTGTTATTGTCATCTCAACCAAATGGGGTTTAGTTTATCTGTATTGGGAAAATTCTTCAAACTTGGTCTTAAACCAAAAGTCTCTACCTTCAACACTCTGATCAACGGCTTTCTTCTCGAGAATAGAGTGGCGGACGCGGCAGGAATTTTCAACAAAATGATTGCGGGAGGTAATTGTCAGCCTGATGTGGTTACTTACGGCACACTAGTAAAGGGCTTTTGCATGAAAGGTAACAATAGTGCTGCTATTCAGTTGCTTAGGAAGATGGAGGAAGGAGCTTGCAGGCCTGACCGTGTTGTTTATAACACAATCATCGACAGTCTTTGTAAGGATACACAAGTTGATGACGCATTAAACCTCTTCTCAGAAATGATCTGCAAGGGTATTGCCCCAAATGTCATTACCTATAACTCTTTGATTCATGGAGTTTGCAAATTAGGCGAGTGGAAAGAAGCTACAAGGTTGTTGAATGAAATGGTGAGTAAAAATATCTTTCCAGATATGTTCACGTTCAGCGTCTTGGTAGACACACTTTGTAAAGAGGGAATGGTCGTGGAAGCAGAAGGCGTGGTCGAAATGATGATTCAAAGAGATATTGAACCTGATACAGTTACATACAATTCACTAATGGATGGTTACTGTTTGCGAGGAGAAATGGACAAGGCACAAAAAGTTTTTAAACTAATGCTTAGCAAGGGCTCGATGGATGTTGTTAGTTACAGCACATTGATAAATGGATATTGTAAGCATAAAAAAATTGATGAGGCCAAGATGCTTTTTCTGGATATGTCTCATAAGGGACTGGTTCCAAATACCATTACTTATAACACTCTTCTGCACGGTTTTTGCAGAGTGGGTAGAATAGATGATGCACAAAAGTTGTTCTCCGAGATGCAAGCTTTTGGCCAGCTTCCAAATGTTCAAACTTATGCTGTTCTACTGGATGGCCTATGTAAAAACCAACTACTTTCTAGGGCATTGCAATTGTTTGGAGAGATGGAAGCGAAGAAGTTGGATATTGGTATTGTGATTTACAGTATTCTTATTGAAGGTTTGTTTATAACTGGAAAAACTGAATCTGCAAGGGATCTCTTTTGTGGTTTATCATCGAAAGGACTTCAACCTAATGTGAGGACATACACTATAATGATTAATGGACTCTGTATCGCGGGCCTAACAAGTGAAGCAGAAAAGTTGCTTGTCGAAATGGACGAGAAAGGCTGTTCTAAAGATGATTGCACCTATAACACAATTATCAGAGGCCTTATCAATAACAATGAGATATCAAAGGCGACGGTACTTATTCAACAAATGGTGGAGAAGGGTTTCTCTGCAGATGCATCAACAATGGAGTTGATAGTGAATTTACTGTCGAAAGATGAAGTGGATCCTGCTTTGTTACTGTTGATAAAAGGACCACTGTGAAATTAATATGCATCTGTGGACAATGAAATTTGAAACTGCTGCACCTTTTGACGACCATGAAGGCATTTCAGTGGTTTGTGCGTATGGTAGGAGGTGAAAATGCCTTCTCACTTGTTTCCTTAATTTCTGGCATTAATTCTGTTTAATGGCATATCTAGCACTCATTTGAATTTTTCCCTTTATCTATGATGGTTTATTTACTTTGTATTCCTATCACTTGGCATCTTGCAGTATATAGGAAGGCCAAATATATAAATTTAGGTGTGCCTTCTCACGACTCTCCTAGCTTGAAAATGTTTCTACAGATATTGTGTCTACTTATTCGTGTATCAGAAACTTTGTCAAAGCATAGACCATTATAGGTTAAATCAATTGACTTTGACTTCAAAATTCAAATGTGTCTAGTTATCTACAGAGGATTTGGCTTCCATGAGCTCGCGACGTTGCTCGGAGACGGCGAATAAAACGTCGTCGCTGTCGTCATCGGGTGTCAAGCTGCTGTTCTACAGTAGGTTGCACCTATAACACAATTATCAGAGGCCTTATCAATAACAATGAGATATCAAAGGCGACAGTACTTATTCAACAAATGGTGGAGAAGGGTTTCTCTGCAGATGCATCAACAATGGAGTTGATAGTGAATTTACTGTCGAAAGATGAAGTGGATCCTGCTTTGTTACTGTTGATAAAAGGATCACTGTGAAATTAATATGCATCTGTGGACAATGAAATTTGAAACTGCTGCACCTTTTGACGACCATGAAGGCATTTCAGTGGTTTGTGCGTATGGTAGGAGGTGAAAATGCCTTCTCACTTGTTTCATTAATTTCTGGCATTAATTCTGTTTAATGGCATATCTAGCACTCATTTGAATTTTTCCCTTTATCTATGATGATTTATTTACTTTGTATTCCTATCACTTGGCATCTTGCAGTATATAGAAGGCCAAATATATAAATTTAGGTGTGCCTTCTCACAACTCTCCTAGCTTGAAAATGTTTCTACTTATTCGGGTATCAGAAACTTTGACAAAACATAGACCATTATAGGTTAAATCAATTGACATTGACTTCAAAATTCAAATGCGTCTAGTTATCTACAGAGGATTTTTAAAATCAAAGGTTGGTTTGTCTCTCTTCCCACATAATGTATAATATATATACTAATGGCTTCTAGTTTGAGGATGAAATAATGAGCCTAAACTTTGGCAATTCATTGATGTTCTGGAGAGGAGTGTGTTATTTTGGGATAGCGGCTGATAATGGTATATATACTGTTGTTCCTTGATTGAACTTAGTGTGCTTGATTCCGATAATGGATTAGTGAACGTGCCATTGTTGTGGATGCGTCTGATTACGGATTCTGATTATGTAAACATGTCATTGTCTTATTACTTGATTCCAATTATGAATTATTAAACGTATGTTGACAGGGTGTTATGTGCTTGAGCTGTTTGCAATGCAGATGGCAATTTTGCTTGGGATTGGAAGTCATCATTTCCTTTCTCATTCGTGTCAATGGACTACTGAAGTGACTGAATATGCTCATCTCCAATACGAAAGACCTTTAGTCCCTCTCAGCACATGAAAATCCGATACTTTCTAAATGCTACACTTGAGTTTAGCTGCACCCCATGTTGTGGTTTTCTCTCGTTTAGTTGGCCAACCCTTGGTCCTTATGAAACATGAGGCCATTGTCCAAAACATGCTCATGCTTTCTAGATATTAACAGTTATCAGGTCGGTGTGGTATTTTTGCAGTGTGTTTCATATCTCTTCATATCCGGGTCCGGCAGCACATAAAAATGTATACACAGCAAATTATTGTTGTTAGGCTTTGACAAGTATAACCTTGGAATTGTTCTCGTTTGTGTTCTGTGTCTGGCCAAAATAGACAACTTTGGCGAGCATTTATGATGCATGAGATACAGGATTGGGTTAGGCACTCTCATAAATTAGTTTTTTGTATATAGGAGAGTGAGAATCGAACCATTGATGTAGTTTAATTCTAAATACTCCTTGTTTGCAGAATAATTTATCTACGTACTTGGCGATATATCAACACTATATATCTCACTTATCGTGACTTATGTAATGAGTGAGATTGAAATTGAGAAAGTAGACATATATATTCCCATAACAATGAAGCTTTCCTCCACTCGAATTACTTGAAATTGACTCTTTTTTCGTGTTTTTTTTGTTTTTATGTGGCAAAAAAAAAAACCAATAGAACTTAGACAACGAGAGCACGCAGGCCCAAAAAAGTCCAAGTAAAAAGAGTTCACAACCGAAAGAGGTACCCATAAAATAAGTTCGCCGCGGCTCAGGTGGGAACTCCTTTTTGCGAACCCCTATTTGCTGCTTCATCTCAGCCATCAAAGTAATCTCAACGG